GTTTCATATGTTATTTTTAAAATAAGCGGTTATTCTTTTGTGATATGCTTACAAAAGAAAACTAAAGCTTATAATTGATTTTAAAGTTAGATTTTTGTATGGATACAATGTGACCTTTTGCAATATAACTACCATTTTACAGTATATCACCTTAAGATAAAAATAAATCACATGCAATCATAGTTAATTAAGAACTTTGTTAAACTTAAATTTAGAATTAATAAAATTTTTAAATTCTAATTAACTTTCTACAATTTTTCGAATAAGAAATTATCTTAATTGATTAGAGTTTCTTTATTTGAGAAATACTTCTTGTATTCACATTCCATATAACTTATATGCCAGATACGCTGCTTTTATTGCAATACAAAATTCGATTGAACACAAACATCGTTGATAGGAAGCCATAATTTTATAACAAAGCATCTGCTTATGCGTATATGGAAAAGCATTAAGAATTTCCCAGGTGAGCACTCATCTCATAAGTTAATGTCATGCTTTTATGGTAGCGCATGGAGTGAATTATTCTTTGGAGTGCTCACTTTTATTGTTTTGAAAGTAATTTATGATTGCTATGAGACAATATAATTTGTTTCGATTTTAACAAATTCATTCTCTAATATTATAAATTCGTCATAGTTACATTAAGGCTTCACACTTTCTGTGCATTTTACCAATTCGTTGAAATTTTACCACATATTTTCTAAAGATTAATTTATATGTTAATCCAAGTTTAACAGAAACGAAAATACCACCCAATATTATCAACACTATTAACCTTTTCACACTACAAATTGTAACTTTTTTTTTTTATTTACAGAAACTCCAAACTATAATTAATCAATGAAAATCAAACATTTACGGCGGTACCTTTGCCTGAAAGTGCATATGTTGATACGAAAAGAAGTGGAGAAACCAAAGTTGTAAAATTGTAGTGACAACTAAGTTAATAAAACTTATAAAAGCACATAAATAAAAACTACAACAGCAGTTGCCGATTACTGGACGCCTCCACATTGTACATGAGACCTGTAATTTATCTAAGTACAACTCGGCATTTATCCACAGCAGCAGCAACTCAAAGCGAAAATCAGCGACTACAAAATAAAGCGAAAATCTTTGACAGACAGCAGTCATCCATCATTGCAATCAGGTCAAACAAAAGCAGCAGCAGCAGCCGCAGCAAAGTGAAGTTGCTTGCAACGATGCACTTGCAACACAGCAGCAACAGGCGTATACATCAACTTCAACATAAAGAAAAAATTTATGTAAAAGCCAAATTTCATAAAGGCATATAGCAGCAGCATCCGCATTTTATGTTGTCAACATTTTAAACTCAAAAAAAACATTAAAAAAAGAGAATAAGAAAAGTTTATAAAAATTACATTTAGTAAAAATAAAAAATATTTTAAGAAAGCTGATGCATCTGCGTCGGCGCAATGTTGCCAACAACATGTTGTCGATTCATTTAATGTTACTAATGCACTTTTTAGCATCATGCCTGCTAGTTGCTACACGAGCAGATGCATCAGCAGTAACAACAATTGATGCAGAAGAAGATATTGTTAGCATAGAAACATTCGCCTCCGCTTTGCCGTCCGCCTTAGAAAAGTACGATGTTTTAGGTGCAACTTCTTTGGCAGCGGTTGCAGCTGCTGACGTTGCGGCTGCTGCTCTTAACTCAGCCAAAGCAACGCCAACATCGCTAGTAGAGTCTGATACAATATCATCGTCATCATCACCAACTTCAGCATCAATGGGTCGCAGTCACGGTGATAACAGACATCGCAATGATTTCATTTCCAACAGCGCAAACTTATTGTTGCAGGACATACAGCAACATGCGGACGGGCTCGTTGTCAATCTAACCAGACATCATGATGGTGATATTTTTCATACAAATGGTAAGTTCCTTTTAAAATGCTGACAGGCAAATTTGTCTTCCACAGTTCTACTTATTTGTTTCCACATTCAAGTCAGCCGCTTTGCGTTTCATAGAGTAAAATTGATGAAATGTCTGGCAAGACAAGTTGCTGGCGTCATGCTAATTTCTCATCGGCTAAAATTGCTAAGTGCAATGAGCAATTTTCTTAAGGCACATTTACCTGAACAACCTGAACAGTTGATGTTTATTTGAAGCCACAAATTGGCTTTACTTTTTACTCGTAAAATCTACAAATACTAATTTGCAATTGAAACTATTCAGCACCAGTACCAGCATTCCACTTATTTTAACTCCTTATTCCAAACTTCAAATTAAAATTTCTTTATAAGCAACTTTACTTGATCAAAAAGTAATGACAAATTTTTAAGATAAATACTCTTTGAAAGAGTATTTATTTAATCTTCAATGTTTATTCTATCCTCTTCAAAGTAGTCTCCATACAATAATATGCACTAACTGTATGTCACCAGTTTCTATAAGTTGTCTATAAGTTGCTTCCACCTATCGCGCCGCAACGCTACGTCCTTTATATTAGTAATGTTGCTTATTCTTCTTCCTAGGGGCTGCAAAACGGTATTTATCTAATTTAACGTGAACCTTTTCCGCGTTATTTTTGGACGACATCTTCCTCTGCTACCTTGCGGGTTGTATACCAACGCCTGTTAACAAATTTCGATAGGAGTCTTTCGAAGTGTATGCACGATCTATCCAAATTTGCTTTTCCGAAGGGTTATAATTATTATTATAATATCGATTTATGATATTACCATGATGTTTTGTTTCTCCACACACTGGTAGATAAATCACAAAATTTGCTGCACTCATTTCTTATTCAAACATTAAAATAAAAATCATATCATTTGATATATATTACATTCCTATTTGTTCACCAACCTTTTTAATTATAATTTGTATACTGTGTTTTTTTTTTTTGCTATTTTCCTTGACATTATTTTACATATACAAGTATGTAGATACATCACATCAACAGATACATTATCTGCCTAAACACAAAAATATGAAATAATATATTACGCCTTGCGGAGCATAGGGCAGTAACAAACTCTCGCTAGCTTATCGATTATGTTCTA